CCAACAAACCGTTGTCCAAAAATATAAGCCAAACTTTTATTCGTGGCTTTGCGCAACAAATAAACCTGACAATTCCATCTACAACGACAATAACAACAACAACAAACATTCGTCATCTATTCCCTCAAAAAGAACTCCCAGAGACAGCGACAAAAACGAAGACAAGTAACCGCATGGAACCACCAATGATAATAAAACGAAATTGAAGAACTATTTCCACCACCTTGAAGCAGCGAGCAGTTGGTGATAGAGCCAGCGACAAGCGGGCTCACCATGAAACAATTTTCCCTTGGACTGCTGCGCAGCGGTTCGACTGTTTCACCATTTCAAAATTAGCATAAATTTATGCAATTTTTTGGAGATCGCGTGAACCACGAATATTGTTAGCATCTTATGTTAATCTCCTATGAATTTTTGATGAATTTTTATGTTTATCCTCATATTTCCCTAGCTTTGATTTCTTGCTTTCTTTCCCAAAAAAAAGGAAAAAAGACTGAAAAACGCTTTTTATTGTCTCTGTGTGATTTTAGTTATTTTCACCCATCAGAACAAGGGCCTGGAAAAGGCAACAGCAACAGACGTGAATAGTTTTCTGACGAATCGTGTGGTTTTTTTTTTTGTTTGTTGGTTTTGTTGGGTGTTAATGTTGTTCATGTTATTGTTGTTGTTGGCTTTTCCATAATCATAAAGAAAATTGTCCATCTTTTTTTGGCATGTTTATATTTTGTTTGGGAATTTGTCACTTGGAGAAATTATAATGGGTCCGACGAATTTTTTTCTATGGAAACAAATCGTAACCGAGGTCCGACGAATTTTTTTCTATAGAAACAAATCGTAACCGAGGTCCGACGAATTTTTTTCTATAGAAACAAATCGTAACCGAGGTCCGACGAATTTTTTTCCATAGAAACAAATCGTAACCGAGGTCCGACGAATTTTTTTCTATAGAAACAAATCGTAACCGAGGTTCGACGAATATTTTTCTATAGAAAAAAAAATGGGACCCGAGTTTCGACGAATTTTTTTCTATAGAAAAAAAATGGGACCCGAGTTTCGACGAATTTTTTTCTATAGAAAAAAAATGGGACCCGAGTTTCGACGAATTTTTTTCTATAGAAAAAACTTGGACCCAAGGTCCGACGAATTTTTTTCTATAGAAAAAACTTGGACCCAAGGTCCGACGAATTTTTTTCTATAGAAAAAACTTGGACCCAAGGTCCGACGAATTTTTTTCTATAGAAAAAACCTGGACCCAAGGTCCGACGAATTTTTTTCTGTAGAAAAAACTTGGACCCAAGGTCCGACGAATTTTTTTCTGTAGAAAAAACTTGGACCCAAGGTCCGACGAATTTTCTGTAGACAAAACTTGGACCCAAGGTCCGACGAATTTTTTTCTATAGAAAAAAGAAAATAGGTCCCAATGTCTGACAATTTTTTCTCTATAGAAAAAAATGGGACCCGAGGTTCGACGAATTTTTTTCTATAAAAAAAAAATGGTACCCGAGATCCGACGAATTTTTGGTCCTCTGGCCCCTCGAATTTTTTTCTATAGAAATAACTTGGTCCTCTGGCCCCTCGAATTTTTTTCTATAGAAAAAACTTGGTCCTCTGGCCCCTCGAATTTTTTTCTATTGAAAAAACTTGGTCCTCTGGCCCCTCAAATTTTTTTCTATAGAAAAAACTTGGTCCTCTGGCCCCACGAATTTTTTCTTTAAAAAAAAAAAAATGGTCCGCTTGCCCCTCGAATTTTTTTCTATAAAAAAAATTTGGTCCTCTGGCCCCTCGAATTTTTTTCTATAAAAAAAATTTGGTCCTCTGGCCCCTCGAATTTTTTTTTTCTATAGAAAAAACTTGGTCCTACGGTCCTTCGAATTTTTTTCTATAGAAAAAATTGGTCTCTGACCCGTGGATTTTTTTTATAGGAAAAAAATCAGTCCCTTGTGGAAAAACTGCTTTTAAACCTTCTATCTTTATAACCTGTTATAAATGTCCTCCTCAATTGAAAAAATATCGGTCATCTTATTCATCAGATTCAAGACAAAATTTGTTGCAATACAAATTTGTGTGAAAATTGTCAACTCAATTGAATTTGCATACAGCAACAATCCCTGTTAAACATCATCGAAGATACAACAGAAAAAAATCCGAACATGCAAAAAACAACTCCCAAATGGAAGATACATTGCTTCTGGAGAAATAGAAAAAATCCGAAAACAAAGAAACGCAGAAAATTGCCTAGAAAGTCCAATCACATAAACAACCAAACCGCAGACAATCCTGGCCAACACATCTGTATATGGTCGAATAAGTAGACCACTTGTGGGATATCTTTTGAATGTTCGGTACGGTTGTTTGTTTTGAGTTCGAAGCCAACATGATTAGTTTAGCCGTTGTCCGGCGCGGTTGTATTGTTCGTTGTAACGTCTCTCGTATGTGTAATTGTTGTCATTAGGAATTGTTATTGCTCTATTGTTGGCCGACGATCGGCCATGTTATTCTCTTTTTTGGTGGCTTATCCTCTTCCAGTAACAGCTAAAGTTGGCCGGATTGGCTGCCTGCTCCTGTCATCGTTTCTATTTGTATTTCGAGTAACTGATTGTATTTCAGATGATTCCGATCAAACAGACATCAACAAATTGTCAACATTATTGAGAAATTGTAATAAAAAAATAGAAAACAGTAACGTATTCAGGCCACCAAAAACAAAGCGAACAAGCGATTGTATGCGACAAAATGTCAAAACTCCCGAATGGATTTGCAGAGGCTAATACAAATCGGAATATCGCAGAAAAAAATTGGCAAAACAAACAAAGAAACTTTCCAATTATGTTTGATGTTTTGGTTGGATGTTGTGGGATGTGTTCCAACAAAAAAACAGAGGAAGTTGGGAGAGGTTTGAGAATTTCAGGGAATTAGAAAAAGGCGGAGGAATTTCTACTTCTAGTAATGAGTCTGTATACACGCCTGGTAAGGAGTCTGAATAAGACGTCTGGTTAGGCGTCTGTATGAGACATCTAGATGCCTAGTAAGGCGTCTGTACAGAGAAAAAAATTCAAGGGGCCAGAGGACCATTTTTTCCATAGATAAAAATTCGACGGACCAGAGGGGCAATTTTTTCCCCATAGAAAAAAAATTCGACGGGCCAGAGGGGCAATTTTTTCCCCATAGAAAAAAATTCGACGGGCCAGAGGGGCAATTTTTTCCCCATAGAAAAAAATTCGACGGGCAATTTTTTCCCCATAGAAAAAAAATTCGACGGGCCAGAGGGGCAATTTTTTCCCCATAGAAAAAAATTCGACGGGCCAGAGGCGCAATTTTTTCCCCATAGAAAAAAATTCGACGGGCCAGAGGGGCAATTTTTTCCCCATAGAAATTTTTTTCCCATAGAACAAATTCAACGGGCCAGTGGGCAATTTTTTTTCCATAGAAAATAATTCAACGGGCCAGAGGAGCAATTTTTTTCCATAGAAAAAAATTCGACGGGCCAGAGGGGCAATTTTTTTCCATAGAAAAAAAATCGACGGGCCAGAGGGGCAATTTTTTTCCATAGAAAAAAATTCGACGGGCCAGAGGGGCAATTTTTTTTCGATAGAAAAAAAATTCGACGGGCCAGAGGGGCAATTTTTTTTCGATAGAAAAAAAATTCGACGGGCCAGAGGGGCAATTTTTTTCCATAGAAAAAAATTCGACGGGCCAGAGGGGCAATTTTTTCCATAGAAAAAAATTCGACGGGCCAGAGGGGCAATTTTTTTCCATAGAAAAAAATTCAACGGGCCAGAGGGGCAATTTTTTTCCATAGAAAAAAATTCAACGGGCCAGAGGGGCAATTTTTTTCCATAGAAAAAAATTCAACGGGCCAGAGGGGCAATTTTTTTCCATAGAAAAAAATTCGACGGGCCAGAGGGGCAATTTTTTTCCATAGAAAAAAATTCGACGGGCCAGAGGGGCAATTTTTTTCCATAGAAAAAAATTCGACGGGCCAGAGGGGCAATTTTTTTCCAGAGAAAACAATTCGTCGGGCCAGAGGACCAATTTTTTCCAGAGAAAACAATTCGTCGGGCCAGAGGACCAATTTTTTCCATAGAAAAAATTCGACGGGCCAGAGGACTGATTATTTTCCATAGGAAAAAATTCGTCGGGCCAGAGGACCGATTTTTTTCCATAGAAAAAAATTCGACGGGTCAGAGGACCAATTTTTTCCAAAGAAAAAAATACGGATGTTAAGACGTCTATGTATAGCCTCTTCTATATAGACGACTGTTATGACGTCTGTTAGCCACTTGGCAAGGAACTTATTGGCCACATGTTGGCTTCCCAATTTTTCTCCAATTTCCTAGTTCCCCTCTCCATTTGTCAAATCAATTTTCATATTACTTTTGTGTGTGTGTATGTATACATGATACATCATCTCAACAGCATATGGTCGGTGGTTGGCCACCTACTTTTATTTGCTGATTGGTAATCCAATGTTTGGTGACTACCTACGACTACCTGTTTGCTTAAGTATGTTAATTGTCAAACTTTTTTACAAAAAGTGATTAAACAGAGATGTGGAGAGCAAAAAACAGTGCAATGTTAATGGGTATTAAATTGGCATGGAGTTACCAAAAGAGAATGGCTGCAGTTCATCATAAAAATGGATAATGGCTAAAAAAGAAACTGGACGATAGACACAAGGATAATGAACTTTGAAATATTTATTTTGGAGAAATCCAGAAGGACTGCATTCAAACCTAAGGAAGTAATATTTGTGATGGTATACAAAAAAATGGGGAAATTCTCCCTTCGTTAGGTCAAATAATCTTCGAAATATAAACTTCCCGGAGAATAAATTTAAACCCAAAAGAAGCTCATACTATATTCAGGATATACATTTCGCCTGGGGATAAATTTGAAATCCAAAAGAAGGTTACTTCAGTTTTTTTTAATCCCTTCCAAGAAGAGCCTATTTTTGAAAAGGCCTCGATATATATAGGGTTTTTGTATCAATTTTTACTTACTCGGTGATTCCCCGCCAGCTGCACCTCCCGCTCCTCCATGGGGCCGTGGGCTTTCACAGTCAACAATTAAAGCCTCATTTTCCGAATCTTCATTGTTTATAATAGCCGTGGCTCCCGGGACATATGTCTCACTATTGCTAGTTCCTGCAACCTGAGACGTGCTCGATGTCTCTGAGGCTGCCACATCTATGGAATCATCATCCAATGCCGAAGTAGTGACCCCCGCTGTGGCTGACACATCCAACTTGAGACGTTTTGCTGAGGGTGAACTTCGCCATAAATCATCATTGCTGTTGGTGTTGCTACCGCCGGTTATGGTGTTGCCACTGGGAGTGGCAACCGGTGTGGTTGTGCCACCAGAATTAGTTGCTGCTGAAGAAGACTGAAAAAAAAAAAAAACAAGAGAATCAAATGCAAATTATCAACAGAAAAGGGAGAGTTAAAGTCATGCCACTAAGAAACAAAACTAGCGGAAGTATTTAATCTTAAATCTGTAAAAAAAGAAGTTACCTCCTCCTTCTTTTCATGTATCTGGATGACCATTTATTGTTCATGTTCTACTTCCGTGGAAATATTGTTTTATAGTTTTTCTTTGCTGCATTGAAATTTATTTTCTTCCCTGGATGAGCCCCCATTTTGCTAAGGGCCCTCTGACATTTATTGCTTAGTCATACATATCATTCTACAATTCCCGCCTTCTTCTATAAAGGTGTCATTTTAGTTTCTTTTTTCCCCAACAGTTAGACTATAACTGAAGTTGTGCAAAAAAGAGCAACAAAACAGGTTAATACAAAAGCGTTAACAATAATAGTTGGCCCCTTTTGTTGGTTAGATTCGTCCCATCAAACGGGGGAATGTATAGAACGCAAATTGAAAATTACTATAAGTATTCAAATCATACAGAGGGAGCGATAAGCACAAAATTTACACGCAGAAAAACTTAGATTGATGTAAAAAGATACATATTCTGAGAAAACTCATCCAATAATGGAAATTGATGTACGGCAAGTTTAAGTCCAACTTTGGACGCCATATGAGATAGCAAGTTCCCAGTTAAGCCAAAAATTAGTCTCCAGGAATCATTTCCTATACTAATGTCTATATACGGCGACTTTGAACCCAAGGTTGGGCGCCATACGGGGAGTGTGAATCATCTAGACAATGGACGTTAAACCCCTTAAGAGATAAGTTCCAGTCACTCTAAAAGTACCGCCTAATTTTTGTTTAGACTAGCATCCAGGAAAATATATCGGGAAGTAAAAAAGACAAATCTTCTACGAAAACTCATCCAAAAACGGAAACTGATGTACGGCAAATTAAAGCCCAACGTTGGGCGCGATATGAGATAGTAAGTTTTCAATCAAGCCAAAAATTAGTCTTGAGCAATCTCTTTCTATACTAAAATCTATATACGGTGACTTTGAACGCAATGTTGGGCGCCATAAGAGGACTTTGAATCATCTAGAGAATGAAAGTTCATTTAAGATGAATTTTAGTCCCACGTATAATATAGCAAGTTTCCAACCAATGCGAAGATACCGCCTCATATTTATTTAGACTAGTCTCCAGGAAAAACCTATAAACTACCGACTTTATTTCTCTTTTAAGGAAGTAAGTATACAATACTTTATACCTTGCATTGGGCGCCATTTGGTATACAAAGCCGCTGTGAACAAATGTCTTAACGGTCCATCCCTTACAGACTTGACCTCCCTTTAAAGAACCCTCCCGTTGGGCGCCAATTGGTATACGAAGTCACTGTGAAGCCGAAGCAGTTAAATCCCCAGAAGTCTCAAAAAGCCAACTCCTTACACACTTAACCTCCCTTTAAAGCAAGTAATTAAAAAATATTTTAAGCCTCACGTTGGACGCAATATAGATTACGGAGTCATTATGAAGCCGCAGTACATACGTGTTACTTAACTGTCGTCTGAAAATCCCAACATGTTTGTTGTACAGGGTGAGATAAAAAAACTGCAACAAAGTCAATCGCTATAATTTTTACATTTTTTTTTTAATTTTATTGAATGAAAGCTAAAAATCTCGAATATAGCATCAAATTTTAGAATAAGTTTAGATTTGTTCGAATTGGTCACCTTTGGCACGAATTATGACCTCCAAACGGCCAATGAAACCGTCACACGCTGTCCGAATGTTGCTCTGGCCCATTCGAAGCGCTTGCTTGAGGTGATGGACACTTTGGTATTTTTTAGTGCCAACCTTGCTTTCCAAAATACTCCAGACACAATAGTCCAACGGATTGGTATCAGGAGATTTTGGTGGCCATTGAGCGCTGGAAATAAAGCGAGGAAATTCATTTTGTAACCATTCTTGGGTGGTGTGTTCTGAGTACGGTGGTGCTGAGTCCGGTTGGAATGTCCAAGGTCTGCGGCCAAAATGTTTGCGTGCCCAAGGCTTTAATACACCCTCCAGAATATTTTCGAAATAATATTCGACATTTATTCTGATGCCACGGTCGATTAATATGAGCGGAGAGCGACCATCGGCTGTTATGGCGCCCCACACCATCACCATGACCAGCACTTGAGTTCTGGTGGCCAAATGAAGGTACACATTTTAAGCTGACCTCTTTGACAAGTAAACACGATCATTTTGTTTGTTTACAAACTGCTTTCTCATCGGAGAAGACATTCGTTTTTATGAAATAAATTTTGATTTAAAGTCCAGTTTTTAAAACTCTTGATCGAAAAATCGTTTTCATAAATTGTGAGAAAAACAAATTACTGAACCACACAGACTACCCCAAGGCTCAAAGTTATCTACAAAAGCCATGATGGGATATTTTTATATGTGTTTAGTATAAAACAAACATCAGTTTAAAGAACTCCAGTGCACCAACTTCTCCTACAGCATATGCTTTCATATACTCTTATTGGCTCTTTTGGAAGCCAGTGAAGCAAAAAAATTATCCCAAAGTTCCTTAGGAATATTGCTAGGAACCTGTTAGAGTTGAACTCAACATTGGGCGCCAAGGTATGCTAATGTATATGCAGCGAACTTCAGTCCCGCGTTGGGTGTCAAAGGTGTTTACTATAAGTCTAATTTTAATTGTGAAGAACTCTAGAGCACCAACGCCCCCTAAGACATGTTCATTCATATACCTGAGACTCTAGGTCCACGTTGGGCGCCATTTACTATTATTATAGCAATACTGTTAATATATCAATTGCACAAAAAGTTGGTACTTGACATTTGTTGGGCGTCAAATACATTTTGCAGTTTTTTTTTTTGTTCCCTTTGGGGGGCGACTGGTAGGCTGCAGCGAGGCTGTTGGCTTGAAAATTTCCAGATGACTAACAAGGATTCTTTACAATAAAAAAAAAACAAATTTCTCTCAGTGCATCTCCCTCAAGCGAACTTTAATTTTATGTTCTTCTTCTTTGTTTGCAAAAATTTAACATTTTCCTAGCTGGCTGTGTGTTGTTAACAAGAGATCTTAAGGGACCAAAGAAATACAAAAAGAAATCAAAAGAACAAAACAACTTAAAACGCAAATTACAAGCACGGCTTAAAGAAAACAAAACGACGTTCAGAGAACCAGGAAAAAATGTGGTGCACGTAAAAATAGGAGCGCCCCCATTCAAGAGTAAATCATTGGCTTTGTTTTCTTTTTTTTTTTCTGCTGTACGCCTAAGAAGGCGAGCAGTTAGGCAAAGGTAGCCAAGTAAAGTTTTCTGGAAATTCTTTGGCATTGCAAGAAAAAGAAGTTGTCAATTTGCAAAAGGAGAATAAATTTCTATTGTTGAGCACTGGTGACGAATGAATGCAAACGACAAATTGCCAAGAAGTTCTGGCAGCAGCCATGGCAACTGAAACATGGGTGAATGAGTTGCGCAACAAGCGTAAAGAAATAAATGTATGAGTGAACGAGTTTGCCAGTGAGTGAGTGAATTATGGCGTGGTCGTAACTGTAGAAAATTGCTAAATTAATAATATTTTAGAGCTTCTGGAAAATTGTGGCTGTTATTAAGTGGTTGCAGAATTTATTTACAGCTACCGCACGGATGATGGTGGGGATAATTCATAGAGCAACAATGATGATGACTTGTTTAATTTTGAGACAAAAGACTATTCATGGGGATTTGGGAGCTGCAGAACCAAAAATTATGTTAATCTAAATAAACGACTTGTGAGTTCTTTGACATAAAAATATATTTAGCCGTTCCTAATCCCCTACAAGGTCTTCAGTTTCTTGATTCTCATATCAACAAGTGTTACAATATCAATTCCTAAAATCTCACAACGTATCATGGCCCTATTGCCAACTGCAGCACCATATATGAGTCTCTATCTTGGCCACATATGTGGTGTGTTGGTAGCTGGAGCCCAACTGGCTGACCACAAACAATTCTCGTAGTAGAAGAAACCTTCTATACCCTGGCAAATATTTATTGTTATTCTTTGTCATGGTCATGTGATTTATAACAAGAGAGTGGCGGAATAAGTGTCACATGTTGCTTTTTAGTGCCACACAATGCCAGAACTTGGCTATTATGGCCAAACACACACATGTGTAAGAGTTACATTTAAATGTAACTATGAACTTCATTTGGTCAACAAAATTATGGAGCAAAAACATTTTTATAACTTAATCTTAAAGGGAGAAATAGGAAAAAAAGGAAAATTGTCAGGGACGGAATGTACCTAAAATCGAAATTTGTGTGAATCGTGATTATAAGAGGTTAAAGGGTTCTGAAGGTAATTTCTTTTGGGAAAATACTTCAAGGATTTCTAGAAATACACATAAAACAATACTATTTACAAACGCGATGATGAGGGATATTTGCATATGCAACGAACTTCAGTCCCACGTTGGGCGCCATTGGTATTTGGTATAAGACCAACTTTAATTTTGAAGGAGTCTAATGCACCAATGTCTCCTACTTGGGGCTCTGAACCCCGAAAATTGTCGGGGACGGAATGAACCTGAAATCGGACTTTGTGTGAATCGTGATTAGAGGAGGTCAAACATTTTTTTTTTATACCCTCCACCATACTATGGAGGGTATATTAACTTTGTCATTCCGTTTGTAACTCCTTGAAATACTCATGTCAGACCCAACAAAGTATATATATTCTTGATCAGCGTAAAATTCTAAGTCGATTTAGCGATGTCCGTCTGTCTGTCCGTCTGTCCATCTGTGTCCATCTGTCCGTCTGTCTGTCTGTCCGTCTGTCTGTTGTAATCACGCTATCTTTCGAATGAATTGAGATAGATGGTTAAAATTTTGCACACATGTTTACTTTTCCAGTAGGCAGGTTAAGTTCGTAAATGGGCCATGTAGGTCCACGTTTTCATATAGCCCCCATATACCAGTACCTCCCGATATTCCGTATTTTGATGATTTTAACGACATTATT